TAGAAGAAAATTGTATATGTAATAATTATTGCTAAATTGCAATAAATAAAAAATTCCAAAAACACGTATCCCCTATTTTGATCCATATGTTTAGTATACAAAGCTGCAAAAAAATCGAACTGCATTTAGGGTGAAAAATTGAAAAAAAAGTGCATTTTTTAAATATATTATTTAAATAAATAATTTCTCCCGAAATTTTTGTCACTAACTAAATTCCTGACTAAAAACTACACAATTTAAAAAAAAATTCACCTTCCTACACCCTCTAGTTTCCGAGATATTGAAGAAAATGTGTTTTCAACCCCCAACTTTGAGGGCTATTTTCACCCCCTCAACATGGATGTCCGCAGATATAAAAAAATACGTGTCAAATGATTTTTAAAAAGCTACAACATATATCAATTTCATTAAAATCCGCGTGTGACACCTTGGTGATGTCCCTTGTAAGTAATTGTAAAAGACAAAATACATAGATAGTGTTTGACTCGAAATTTTCATAATATATACAAACTGGCATTTTACACTCCGCCGGTTATGAATGTAAAAATTATTCAATAGTTAATTAACAGTCCATAACTCAAGAGTAAAGGAAGGAACTATATAGAAAAAGAGGAAGATAAGGACTGGACAAGGGAGGAACGCACATGCACTCACCACCACCTAATTAACGAATCACGATCTCTTACGCATTGGCTTAGCAGCCTAATTCGTTAGGCGCATATCAATGCAATGTAAACAATTTCGGACTATGCTCTCCCTGTTTTTTGCGAAATACGCGGCACACTGTGACTAACCGATTGATTGAATCGAAATCGACAGAGGTTGTAAATCCCTGCCTGAATGTTACAGCAATGTGGTCGCGTACACCCTTACGTCGTTTTATCGAGGTAAGGATAATATTGGGTGTTGAGTAGATAGTAAAGAACTCAAATTGATTTTAAGTAACACCAAATAAACTATTTAATTTTATGGAAAACGAAAACTTAACCAATTTCAGAGTTATTATTACAAGTGTAAAGTGTTTGTGTTTGAAAGAATATGAAGTTTTCCTATGATGACTATGTTCCGTCTTATGAACGAATGTTAAACTGTCTTGCTATGGGAAATTACAACGTTTCCGTACGTAGAAGATTTTTTGAAGCAAGGTCTTTATCGTTCGGTAATTTTTCTGAGACTGCTCTTACAGTACTTGTTTCGGAGAAGGAAAACTAAAAGAAAATAGAGAAATGGGAAA